AAAGAAAGAAAAAAGAAATTCAATCCAAATGAAGAGCACAGAGACAGAAGTAAAGATAGTATGCTTTGGGATAAATACCTGAGTCTTTCGGTTAAGGGTTTTTTGGTTTGTTTTGTTCAGTTAAGGAGAGCAGGTTTGTAATTCTGCAAATTAAGTGTGGTCATCTGGAGGGCCCCCTGCAGTGCTTCCTTGAGGAGGCTTCCCAGAGGAAGGTCAGGGAGGCCAGGCTATTTCCTTGTTCTCCTGGTGGTTGACCCTGAGGTCCTAGGGGCCTGGGGAGCGCATGCGCGCGCTGCGTGGGCGCTCTGCCCCGAGCCTGGCCCTCCAACCGCCACATGGGTCCTTGGAAAACCCGCTCAGAAGATGCGCATGCGCGAGCACCAACAGGGTGGTTACAGAATACGTTATCAAAATCAGAAGTAATGGGTTCTCTAACCCACAACTCCCGCAGTATGTTCTTGCCTTTTTCCCCTTGTTACTTTATAGACAACTGTGTGTTTTGAGGGACGCAAAGGCAAGGGCGGTGGTGGTGCAGCCCCAGGCTGGCCTCGGCCTGTTCTGCGGCCAGCTGGGCGGGAGGGTCGCCCTTGTCCCTCTTCTCCACGGTGCAGAAGCCTGAGGAGCCCTGCTCATGCATTTGAAAAGTGTGCTCCAGGGCAAGAGAAGCAGCTCAAAGTCACCGAAAAGCGAAAAGCGAGTGGTCCTCTGAGCAGTAGCTTCCTTGTGTTCTCAAAGGGACATCAGTCACGGTTCACGTGGCGACTGCTCATTTGTCAGGGTGCTAGTGACTGCCGAAGTTGAATGACATGCTTTTGCTCCGTGTGATGTCACAGTGGGAATGAGCTGCATGCGTAGGTTCCTGAGGCTGCAGGCGGCTGCAGGCGTCCACTAGAGCGTCGTGTGAGAATTAGCTGCCGGAAAGCAAATTGCAGTACAGATTGTCAATTGTGTTAGTAATTAAATTGTGTTCCACGCATGCGCCTTGTCCAAACTTTATTACATGTTCATGTGGTGTGTGCGCGTGTGGTGGTCTGCTGGGAAGACCTTGTGTGTTTTTGAGGATGGAAGGACGTTTTAGTTTTGAGCAGTCCTGGGAATTGTGGGTGGTGGTTTCTGAAAATGTGATGGGCTCCTGGGGACTGTAGGAATTCACAGGGCATGAGTGATTGGTTGCAGGGGTCTTTTGAGTGCATTGAGAGTGTTCCTACAAATTCATAGTTTGGGATTTTTCTGCGTTTAAAATTGGTTGGTGAGAATCCAATGTGTGTATTTAGCTGTGTGGGTGACGGTGTCTGGGTGGATGTCAGAGAAGAAGGGAAAATTACCATTGTCTGCGCAACTGTGTAGGGTTGGTTGTATTTAGAGCATGTCGTATTATGCATGCCTGCTCAGAGAGTTGATGGTGTTGGTAATTTGCATTTTGGAATAGTTCACCTATAGTCTCCCCCTCGAATGCTGGGATGTGTGTGTGTGTGTGTGTGTGTGTGTGTGTGTGTCTGCATGCTGGAGAATTTGGAAAAATACATGCATGCATCTGTGGACAGTGTTAGGAAGTGTCTGGTCATATTTGTCTGTGTGTGCATATTTCAAAGAAGTATTCTCTTCTGAAGGCTCAGTATACCTCTTTTTTTATACAGTTGGGAAATATAACATTATTTGTGTGTTCAAGATAGGCTGTGTGGCTATGTGCTTCTTTTCTGACCTTCAGGATCTGTGTGTGTCCTTCAGTGTGTAAGGGCAAGTCTATGATTAATTTTTGGACTGGAAGGTTAAATCTGTGCAATTGTGGTGTTGGATGTATATGATTCTGCATTTTGCAAGATGGAGGAAGGAGTTATTAGAATTTTGGAGTGCGTGGTCTTATACATGTGGGTAGTGTAATACTGTGTATTTAGGCATATTTGCAAATTTGTAGCATGCTGCTTAATTGTGTAGATATTTGATGCTTGGGAGAGGTCCCCATCTCATAAGTTTGTGCACAGTACATTTCTTGGATGTGTGCACATATGTGTGTGTGCCTGTGTTTTGTTGAAATGACCAGATATAGTTGTGTGAAGTAAGAATATTTGGGTGACAATGAGTACATGTATTTTAGTGGTACGCAAGTTTGGTGGATATTTCTTGGGGCAGTCTATATTTCAAATTGGAATGCTTTTAGTGTACTATGAAGTAAGCATGTATGTGTCTCACAGAAAGGTGAGGTAGTTCACTTACACAGAGGAATACTTCGGTTGCACAAACTGTTTTCTACTAGCCAGGAGTAATTTGGGAGATGAAGAGGTTTACATATATTTTTAAGTAGTATGCTGGTGATAGTTATCTGAATCTTTGGCATATGTTTATGTCCATCTGTGGGTGGATGAATAATGGAATTTTTCATAGCAAATGACATTATTAGGAGTATTCAGAGTGAATTTGTTGGGAGAATGCTGGGGTATTTATATCTATGTGAATGTTTCAGGAATGAGGGGGGGAAGATTGTATCACAGAGATGTGAACTATTCTAGTGTTTTAGGGGATTAAATTCTCAAGTCCTGGAAAATATTTTTGTGTTGTCTATTGGTGTGTGAGAATTGTGTGTGTGTGTGTGTATATGTGTGTGTGTATATATGTGTGTGTGTGTGTGTGTGTGTGTGTGTGTGTTCTGAGATGTGTGTGTGTGTTTTGGTTCTGGGCATTGAACACAGTCCTCACAATGCAACTTTAGTGGTTTTTTAGTGTGTGTATCTATGTATTTGTGTATTCTGTGGATATGCCTATTTGGGGTCCACGAGTATACAAAAGGCTCAAGTGTTTCTTTCTGTGTTGATTCTGGAATGCAGTCCTAGAAGATTCTGGTGATGTTGCATGAATCTGTGGTCCTGGCTTGTGTTTGTTCTCACACATGAAGAAGTGCAGTATATTTGTGGCTATGTGTGTATTTGAGTTCACGTGCGTAAAATGTATGTGTTCTGGGAGACATGGGAGGCTCATCATGTGTATTTCAAAAGATAGAAGCTGTGTAGATTGTGTATGTATTCTGGAATTATAGAGTAAGTGTATTGTAAAATTCTGGGTTTGGGTAATGATCTTTTTTGAGTCATTTGTAAGACAACTACCTGGTATATTTGTAAAGTCTGTGCTAGTAGGGTGTCCATTGTGTACATATTGACAGTGGATTTGTTGTATATTATGTATGCTGTATGCATAGTTTCAGAGATGACATGTAGGCAGTTGGGGTGGCTATGTTTTTTTAAACAAAACATAAAATTATGGATAGTAACTAGGGTCTTTTGGTGCATTCAGAATTCAAGTGTTTTTTTTCTTCCAGTAGTGATCATTTTTTCCTAGTTGTTTTCAGGTGCATCAGGTAGGATAGCTTACTGTGTCATTTTTAGGGTTCCACAGGCACTACCTTAGGGAGAAATTTCATTTGGATCCCTCTGTTTGTTGGTGCTAGGCCAGGAAGAAAGACAGGGGTACGGAAGGAGCAACAGTAAAAAGAAGAATGAAAAGAAGGCTTAATGCTTTCATTAAATGTAGGTTTGTAGGTGAAATTCATCTTACAGGGATGGTTAAAGGTTGTTACTAAAAGTTAAAGGTTTCTTGTTACCTCTTGGAGTATACCTTATGAAGTAGTTACTAGCACGCTTTTAGCCTATGTGCGTGTGTGTGTTTAGAATGTATGACATGATAATTGCATAATATGAATATTCATATAATATGATAATACAAAATGCATGTATTA